CCCGAACCCCCCGGTACCGGAATGGTGAGTCCCGAACCCCCCGGTACCGGAGCTCCGAGAGCCGCTCCGAGCGTCCGGGGCTCCCGGCCCGGTTTGGGGGCTCCCGGTTCCGTTCGGGGAGGGGTCAGAGGGTCCCCGGTACCGGATTTCGGGGATTCCGGTGCCGTTCTGGGGTTCTCGAGGCTGTTCCGGGTTCCCGGTGCCGTTCCGGGGGTCCCTCCGGTGCCGTTCCGGGGTCCCGGGGCCGTTCTGGGGGTCCCCGGGCTCGGTTCGGGTGTCCCGGGGCCGTTCCGGGGGTCCCTCCGGGGCCGTTCCGGGGTCCCGGGGCCGTTCCGGGGTCCCGGGGCCGTTCCGGGGTCCCGGGGCCGTTCCGGGGGCGCTGACGCCGCTGTCCCCTCCCTGTCCCCTCCCTGTCCCCGCTCTGTCCCAGGCACGGCCGTGACCTAACCCCGCTCCGATGGAGCGGCCCCGGTACCGGGAGGCGGCCAGGGGCGGCCCCGGGGGGAGCGGGCCCGGGGGGGGCTCCAGCGCCGCCGGCAACGGGAGCTGCGGCCACCCCCCTGCTGCCACCGGCACCGGCACCGACACCGGCACCGGCACCGGGACCGGTACCGGCACGGCGGGAGGCGGCGACGAGAGCGGCGAGCGCGACCCTCCTGTCACCGGCCCCGGTGGCGACCGCGGTCCCGGGAGTGTCCCCACCCCCGGCAATGTCCCCAATCCCGGGAGTGTCCCCAATCCTCACAATGTCCCCAACCCCTCCAGTGTCCCCACCCCGGGCAGTGTCCCCCACCCCTGGCAATGTCCCCAGAGCTCAGGGTGTCCCCACCCCTGGCAATGTCCCCAACCTCGACAGTGTCCCCACCCTGGGCAGTGTCCCCAAACTTCAGGGTGTCCCCAACCCTCAGGGTGTCCCCACCCCGGGCAGTGTCCCCAAATTTCAGGGTGTCCCCACCCCTGGCAATGTCCCCAACCCTCAGGGTGTCCCCACCCCGGGCAGTGTCCCCAAATTTCAGGGTGTCCCTACCCCTGGCAATGTCCCCAACCCTCAAGGTGTCCCCACCCCTGGCAATGTCCCCACCCCTGGCAGTGTCCCCAAATTTCAGGGTGTCCCCAACCGTGGCAATGTCCCCAATCCCGGCAGTGTCCCCAACCCTCAGGATGTCCCCACCCCCGGCAATGTCCCCAACCTCGACAGTGTCCCCAATCCTCACAATGTCCCCAACCCTCAAGGTGTCCCCACCCCGGGCAGTGTCCCCAACCTCGACAGTGTCTCCAATCCTCACAATGTCCCCAACCCTCAAGGTGTCCCCACCCCGGGCAGTGTCCCCAAACCCGACAATGTCCCCAAACCTGTCAGCGTCCCCAGAGCTCAGGGTGTCCCCACCCCCAGCAGTGTCCCCAAACTTCAGGGTGTCCCCAACCCTCAGGGTGTCCCCACCCCCAGCAGTGTCCCCAAACTTCAGGGTGTCCCCAACCCTGGCAATGTCCCCACCCCTGGCAATGTCCCCAACCTCGACAGTGTCCCCACCCCCAGCAATGTCCCCAACCCTCAGGGTGTCCCCACCCTGGGCAGTGTCCCCAAACTTCAGGGTGTCCCCAACCCTCAGGGTGTCCCCACCCTGGGCAGTGCCCCCAAACTTCAGGGTGTCCCCAACCCTGGCAATGTCCCCACCCCTGGCAGTGTCCCCAACCCCGGCAATGTCCCCACTCCTGGCAATGTCCCCAAAGCTCGGGGTCTCCCCACCCTCAACAATGTCCCCAAACCTGTCAGCATCCCCAGAGCTCAGGGTGTCCCCACCCCCAGCAGTGTCCCCAAACTTCAGGGTGTCCCAACCCTCAGGATGTCCCCACCCCTGGCAGTGTCCCCAAATTTCAGGGTGTCCCAACCCTCAGGGTGTCCCCACCCCTGGCAG